TGGCTGGGCCTCAAAACTGGCGTGTGCGTTCAGACTACGCGCATGTGCTGGGATCAAGACTCACGACTATCGCAGTGCTACCACTCTGCCGCGCGCGACATTTCAGCTACTCGTTGGCCTTCGAAGATGGATCGTGCCAACGAGTAACTTGAAGATTTTGGATTGAAGCCGAAAAAAAGGATTGAATTCAAAAGTTTTCGGCTATCTATATACCTAATAGCAGTTATGAAACGCAAAACCTAACCACAACCGCGGTGTAAATGAATCCTCGGCACCTGCTCCAGATTTCAGGGTAGGTATCTTTCTTTCTTTTCATCTCTGATCTAAATTGATTTCGCAACGTGTGAATTTTTTTTACGAATTTCTTCGATGTTCATAGATGCATCTGATTTCTTCATTTGTTCACTTATTTTTTCTAATGCTTGAAGTCTTGAGATTCTGTCTTTGTAAACCGAACTTTTTACTTTCCTTTCCATAGGCAAGGTGCCTGTCTATATAACTCAATAAGCCTCTCAGTAACATCTCTGTTCCAGTCCCCGTCATGCGACATTGCAAAGCAAAGTAAATGAACAGGTAATTGTGTGTAAATAGGGTAGGAGCGACAGCAACGCACAACCTACACAGACGGCAGTCAAAGCGACACTCTCGAGATGAGCGGCTCATCAGAGATGAGCGGCTCATCAGAGATGAGCGGCTCAAAAGAATGAACACTGCTTCATTCGCCGATGAGCCCGTGTCGATGGTCCGGACTGCCTCAGTCTGGACTGAAAAAGCCAGTTTTTCAGTCGTCAGTCGCGCAGAGTCTCATAGTGTGAACGAGCCTTTAGTATAACGCGCTGTCGATGATTGAATGGAGTTCACTTCATTCAATCATTGACAGCGCGTTGAAAATAGAGTGAAAATTCATTGAAAGTTTCCAGCTACGTTGGAAATTCATTAAGTTTTGACTTCTCGTAGTACGTGAAGTGGGTGAATGGAATTTCCTACATCAACGTGGACATCGAAGTATCGGGAAAAAATTACGTGGTCAAGGACGTTACGTATAGTACTATACTCTATAATTTGATATCATTATGATATTTTATGGACCAATATGTGCCGTATTCACTTGTTCATGCGTCTGATTATCCCAGATAACTGAGAGATTAATGGATTTTTAATGCTTTCTTCTCTCAATGAGTCCACCGCTCCGGCGCCGTTCCCTAATCAAACAAAAATAATAATGTGATTAATGTGACATAAATTTTTACAATGTAGCCGAAATAACTTCGAAGAAATTCATATCTTCCCCCACAGCGACTATACAACAGGCGACACAAGGATAATGATATCAGATGACGAACTAAGGTTACCGATAATCTGATTGTTATACTAATTATTTTTTTTAAATACCATCATAACATCAACATGAATTTGTTATTTTTGTTCAGCGGAACCAATTCAGCACATTTCAATAAAGAATTTTAGAGTGCTCCTCGAATTACGTATTTTTTAGAATGCAAATATATTGCACGCAAAAAAAATCGATTTCAAGCTCTAGTATAGGGTGGCCCAGTGGCCCAGTGGTAGGGCAGGGTGGCCCAGTGGTTAAAAGTTCAGAGTACCAAGATATTGGCGCAGAGAGGCGCGGGTTCGATCCCAGCTCTGTGCGCCAGTTTCTGGTCAGAATCGGCAAGGAGGCCGGGCGGTTAAGCACAGCAGAATTGTAGCAGTGAGTTGCGAGTTCGAGACCGCAAAATGCTGCGAATGTTCTGCTATGTTAAGAATCGGCGGCAGGCCCACGGCCTAATAAACGCCGAAACCGCTATTATTATTATTTATTATTGTGATCTAACTTATTGTCGTCTGTCGTCGTCATAAATTAGCCCAATCAATAGCGAAACTAATAATTATTCATCGATTTATTTGGAATAAAGATGTGCATTGATATTGTTATAGAGTTCATGCTCTATAATCCAGCCTGGGAACAATACTATTGTCATGCCATCTAGATGCCATATAAATAATTCTGTCATGTGATGATTATACGATACTCAATATGTGCAGAAACTTGCATCGAAAAGTATAAATAAATTTCCCTTGCTTTATATTTTTCTGATGAGATAAATAACAATCCACCATCAATGATTTCTGGGGAATATTTATAGATTTAGAAAGATTGAAATTAACATTGAAATATTTTAGTACCAGAATCTTGCTCACGCGATTATCGAAAAACATTTTTATGGTTCTTAAGAACTAAATAAAGTAAATATACACATTTTTTAATGATAATTTAGTGAAACAGCATAAGTTAGCCTCCTGTTCACATAGCATGTATTGCATTATCAGTCGTCCAACACTTCACGTTACCAAATTTTCAATCCATCCTTCGAATTTTTACAAAATTCGTTCACTCATTCTGCGCCAAAATTAAGCGTGTTTTTCTCTCTTATTTATGCCTGGGAATAATATTTTGCTGCGACCTGTAGGTGAAATGGCTGCTTATCACAAGTGCACTTCACTGACTTTCAACTTTTTCACTGACCCTGAATTTCCAACTCATTCTTAGTCTCAGAGAAGCGAGCGTCCGCTACGTAGTATTGATCTCTGCGGCGTTCACTTGACAACCGCAGAGTGTGGTAGCTGAGTATTTGGGTATAGCACCTGTGTGCGATGGTGCATCAGCCGGTATCTTCTATTGCGATGAACGATTTATTAGTATATTATTAAAACCTTGCTTCAGCGTAATACAAAAAAGTATAGTTGTAATTGTTTTTGCAAAAACAATAGTACTTCCATATAAAATCTAATAATTATTATTATCCTACGAAGAGATTATCGGGACGTCTGGTACAGCATAACTTCGAGGCACGTTACATATTAGGAGAAATAATATAATAGAATAGAAGTGTCGGCGTTGAAGAAATAGGCCCATGGCCTGTTGCCGATTCTTGAACTTTTCGTGACTTGATTCACAAGGAATCCGGCCTTTGGAACCCGATCTTTCCATAGCTGACGATTGATTGAGATAGCTGCTGGACTTATTGCCTGGTCCGTAATTTGCTAGGGATTTTAAGACTGAACATATGCTCCTGCATAGCTTCGTCTAGTCTGTTTTTGAAGATGTTCATACTCGGAGCGTCAACGATGCTATCAGGGAGGCTGTTCTACATGTCAGTGACTCGAAGCAAGAAAAAAAGTTGTCGCCTGGATGTGCTCCAGCGCTGTTTTTTTAGTTTATAGCCGTGGGCCTTGCTGTTGGTTCTTGTTTCAATTCTAGTAATTCTTCTGGGACCTCGTGTAAGCCATGAGTATACTTGTATGCTTCAATGAAGTCCCCACGCAGACGTCGATAACTGAGGCTTGGAAGCTTCATAATCTTTCCTCATAGGACTTGCCTGTCAAGCCCGGAACTATCCTCGTTGCGCGTCCCTGAACACTCTCTACTAAATTTTTGTCCTTTTCAAATTTCGGTGACCACACGACGTTTAATTCAGTTGCATGAACGCAATTGAATAAAGACACTAGAAACAATGAAAAATTTTCCATAATTTACCGTATTGCAAGGGTAACACTAGTCACTAAGTAACGCAGAAGTAGGGTTGATTACTTTAAAACTGAGGGACAGATCAGTAATTAAATGCGATAATTATGTAATTACCACCGTGTTCAGAATTAAATTATTATTACCTGAAATTATCAGGTAATAATAATTGAATGCAAGAAAAGCCCGAAAGTTCGACGAGAAAATGAGAAAAGTTCGACGTGGGCCCGTGGGAATGAGAAAAGTTCGACGTGGGCCCGCTCCCCGCTCGCGTCACAGCTCAGTGACCCTCGGAGTCGGTGTAGGCCACCATCAGAGGCGTTAAGGTCGGGGCCCTGATCATTGACATGAAACCATTCCCTGTTTTTAATTAATAAAATTAATTCCTTTTTGTTGGAATGGTGAGTGTGGGAGGCCTTTATTAAAAAAAATTATCACTCAAGACTGACAAAAAAATGTACTCCTGGACAACATTCAGTAAATCATGTTGTCAAGTGAGCAACTTTTCAATGAAGGAGGAAAAGAATACAAGCAATGACTATGTTAAAAAACGACAAACGTTTAATTTAAAATCCATCATAAAAAAATAGCCAGCAGCACAGAGCAGATTATCTTTGGTAAAAAGGCATTTTCAGTCACCCGACCGCAGAATTTTGGTACCGGCAACAGAGAAATCGTTAAACCCGCAAACGAATGTCCCCCAGCATTGGCAATAATTAATCCAGCAAATCAAGTCTTCTGCTAAATTTTAACAACAATATTGTAAGGAATTAGCCACACTTGATACTGACTAGAATGCAAAAAAAGCAGCTCTCCTCCCACAGCAGCATTCAATACCTCGAAGACGCAGGAATGTCTTAGCTTTGAATAGCACCATTACGTCGTGAACACAAAAAATGTTTTGAACAAACGAAATAAATGATTAGTTTGTGTAGCTGATCAGTACCTGACCATCAAAACATTAACTAAGTTTGGTCAACAAACGCCTATATATTTCTCAGGTTTACAACCAAAAAACGTACTAATGCTGTTCTAAAAAACTAATGCTGTTCGTTAATATTATGCTGTTCGCACACAGCATTAGATCTTGCTTCATATCTGAACAGGGAAGGCACACGGTAGCAAGGCACCGATATATATAATTATTATCACATTTAATTTAACCATGCCTAATGAAAAGAAACTAAGGTCAAGTTGGTGGACGAGGCAAGCAATATGAAAACCTGATGAGCGAAGTGTTTCTCTGGCATGGCTACCACGAAGGCTTCGTGGCCATTGCTCATTAGTGCTCTTAACAAGTAACCAGGATTCGAAAATAAATTGATTTTAAAATAAGGTGCAAATCATTTAAACAAAATAAAAAAAAACATGCATCCGTAAATAACTAACTAATAATTAAACAATACACTCCAGAAACAACATTTCGATGAAAAAGTGAACATTAGGTCATCCAAAACGTCTACTGAAAAATTTATGTATAAGTACTCTTAATATCGCACAACCATGATATTGCTAAGCGTTGGAATGCCCAATAAACAGCCAGATTTAACACTAAGGCAAGTTGATGCATACCGCATAGAAGATGCATATAGACATTAATATGCATTGGGATACCTGGACTAGAACTCAATATGAGTTATGCTAATTATTGTCATAAGGACTGCAATGCTCCTTCAACGCAGAGGTAAAATGGGAACCGTGTTTTGTGTTTCAGTTCGCATCGCTAACTCCAGTAACGTTAATGTGCAGAAAGCGTCTAATGGAGTTGGCAACGTCAACAGGCATGAGGGCACAGGCATCAACAGGCGTGAGGGCACAGGCATCAACAGGCCTGAGGGCACAGGCATCAACAGGCCTGAGGGCACAGGCATCAACACCAAACGAGTCACTCTTCAATACAATTAACTTCATTGGCCTAAACGTACATAATTTAGACACAAATAAGGAATTGATTTGCACAGATCCTCCACGAATGATATACCGTACACAGAGCTAGCAAATAAACGGTATCATTTACAATTTTTTTTGCAACTCCTTGTGCACAAATTACCTACGCTTACGACTGACAACAACCGAGATTCTCGTATCTGGTCGTATCAAATGAAATTAAAAGTCAACGTCAACGTCTGCACAAGGAGGAAACCTAACGTTTCATTTTGAGTGATTAGAGTAACAACAACGAATAAAGTATCAAGTTGAATAACAATTTCATGGAAGACATTATTATCTGGTCACGCAGAGGCTCGTAGAAATGAATGGCATGTCTGTTAAGAGTCAAGAGCAAATTGGACAGAGCAAGGACAATAAATTAATCAGAGCAGCAATGCTGTTCTTTGAATACAAAATAACTAGCTCAACTAAATTATAAATGCTCTTTGGGTTCGCAAATTGAAGCGAGAATTTTCATGATATACGAAGTGTGGGCAAACAAGTGAAAACACTATCACACGGTGCTGAAACAATTTAAATTATTGATAGATGAAAAACTCGGTCACAAAGAATGCCAAATAACACAACAAGAAGGTGTCAATAAACTTGCAATTGGCCGGGCAATTAGCATCAACATTGCAAATTGAATGGAATAAATAGTCAAGGCAAAGCTAGAATTGCACCTGCGCCGTCCGTCAAGTGAAGATATAACAAATGAAAGGAGTCTGAAGAACAGATAATACATACTTTTAATGATAATTATTTAGAAGCATTAAGCAACTAAATGGAATCGACGATTATTGCAGCAACTAATTTTGTAAGCCGTGTAATAATAAGAGGCGGCGATCCATCGTGGCCTGGGACTGCTATGTCCCAAACAAATACTAAGGATACTAAGAATATGACACATATCTTTTTGTCTACTGGCAGTGACATGACTCACCAGGCCTTCAGATGCAACGTTTACGACTAGTAATGTACGCGCAGACAAACCTAAGCAGCATTTAACATAAGATTTAAAAGCTGAGTGATATCTATAGCGAAAACACAACTTTCGAGTGAGATTGGTAAGAAGTGAACCTTTTACAGGAAACCGATAATTGAATAAACATATTTTTGGATGTAAAATTGGCCGCAAGGTAAACAGCATTTGGATGTAAAAATCAGCAAACAGAAATGCTTGGTAGTGCCTTTGGCAAGATGGACGAGCAGCGCATGGATGAGAAGATCCCAGGCGAAGTGGATACAGATGAGCTTGGCCCAGACGAGAAAACCCAGTGGATTCTTCATTGAGAGTTTGCAGACAGTTTTTGCTGTTGTTTGCTGTTTGTTGCTCCCTGTTGTCCATTGAGCTAAGCGACGGCCAAGTTCTAGCTAGATGTGGTGGCAGTGCTCTAGTCATATCAACTGCGTAGAGTCTGTCAATCACATGGCAAATTAATGACATAGCAAAGTAGACACGCCATGTATCTGGGTGAGACACAGGGCGATACACGATGGACTATTCTCCCTCTTGCCATGATATCCAAGATATAAATAATACATTACTATTGATGTGAGGGCAAGCTCTAGGGCATAAAAATGTAATGAATCCACAAATGATGGAAATAATAAGAAGAAAGACTACAATGAAAAGATACAGCCAAACCTTGATATGATAGGAAAGCCAGTAAATTTTTATTCAATTCACGCTTCCAAGCCTGTCATGAATACATGTTGAATACAGCGAAAATCATAATAACTGAGGAAGCCTTTATATACGTAGTTTACCGCGAATAAATGTGGAACAGTTACAAGTGACACAAGTGCAAGGAGCACAAAATCGACACTTTGTTCTCATCAAGACCCAGCAAAATGTTGTTCTCATCAAGTTTATGGCCCGGCAGACCATTGCCGGGCCATAAATGCTGAACATTATTGAAAAAATTGAACGTAGGTATTGCAGCACTGAAGAAAAAGTATATCGCGCCATGATGGCAGCGTTCATATGTTCATGACAATGTTTGAATTATAAGACATAGAATCAATAGAACTTTCTTCCTCTGAAAGAAAAAATCGCATAATCTTCAAACAATATTTGAAAATATTTGCAGCCAAATAATTAGTTTACAATTCACCAATGATTAATACTTAAATTTAATGCATGAGAGTAGAATAAAAAATGCGTTGACACAAACCAATGGTATATATGGTATTTTTATTAGCATATATATACCGTACCTATTTGAGAAAAATCGGCTCAAAACGCGACACAGCTTTCAAACTGAAAAAAAGACAATCAAAAATCCCTTATAGTCATTGGAACATCAACAGAAAAAACTAAGCATTTGTAATTCTAGTAAAGAAATACAATACCTTTAAGAATGCTCTCAGGAGTGTCTGGCGAGTACACAAGGAACAGCAGCAACTGCAGGCCGGAGATGAGAGCGCACAGGAAATTTGGGATGACAACAAAAACGGCATCAATAAGTCTGCCATAGATAGTCCAGGCTGATGTCGACAGGAACATGAGCAGGATGAGTGGGAAGGGCATGATGGAGGTCGACTTCACCCTGATGACCTCAAACACTGACGCCAGGGGTGAGGCACAGAACAGGATTGAGGCTATGCAGCTCAGCAGCCCCACGTGTGACGTAACGACCAAGCGATCGTTGGCTGGGGAGGAATTTAAGGCATGAAAAATTGGCAGGGATGAACAAAAATGTTAAGCTAGAAGTTTGGATCATTTAATTATTAGTTATCTACAATAACTAGATGTTTTAACCAGTTGTCTTTCAACATATTTATGGTCGTCAATGATATTTGTTTCCTAATGCCTGGCAGTAAGAGTTACTCTCAATATATATAAAGGGTAAACTCTATGTCTATGGATATGTGAAATATCTAATTTAGATCAAAAGGACTGGCAACATGTTAGGACTGAAGAATCTGAGGCCAAAAAGAGTTTGATGATCACATTTTGTTTACCCTCTTACCAGAGTAAGTTGCATAGTATAAGATGCTGCCGAGAATGACGACCAGAGCAAGCATCTGTCTCTTAACAGCAGTTCTTACAGGCACCGCAACGCAGTAGAGCAGGAACACCATCAAATACAACACCTGAAACATGAGAACTCACTGTATCCAAACAAATAGTAGTAAGTTTACAGGGTGCATGAACATATTTCATTTAAAAATACATTTTTTATATTTTTTTTGCTACTGTATATATAATTTTTTTTTTATTTTTTGCTAAATTTAAATTTTTTTGTATTTTTTTGCTATATATCAAAATTCTGTTGTATTTTTTACTAATACTAACAACAAGAAACATCTTATGCCTTGTGAATAAGAGCTTCTTTATTAGGTTGAACTGGAAGGAATGTTTAGCTGTTTGTCAACTCCAGATGCACATTTGCAAAAATACAAGCAGTCTTATTATAAAATTACCAATATTAGAGTGAAGTAAAAACACAGTCTAACAAAAAATATACAAACAATCCAGAAGTCAGCAAAGAAACCTGTTCTGGATGAGTTGTGCTAAAATTAGAGTCACTTACTTGTGTTACAAGGCCAACTGAGTTGGTGATAATTATAGAACTATCACCCAGTAAAGAACCATAGACGAGCCAGGTTCTGTAATCAAGAAGGTAAACAAAATCTCCAGAAGCATTCTAACATGAAACTGACAGGAAACTTAGCTCTGAGTGCTTGATTATAACATAATAATATGAAATATTTGTGAATACCTTGTACATAAAATAAAGCAATGCATAGGGAAATATCCCAAGCTGTCAATAATTTCATTTCACAAATTTAATTTGAGAATGATCAATTGTAAACCTTAAGAAAATGATATAAAAATGTATATATATTGTCAGTTGCAAGCAACACATGTTTTACAGCCATGTACAAAATTTATTTGGTAGTTTTAGATCATAGAATTTTGATTTGTGGGACATACCAGAGGAATCCTCAAACCTGATATATACCTACACAATTGAGCTCTCAACTGATTATATCAAAGAGCAACTAAACAAAGAAAAAGACAATAATTGAGACATGCAGTAATAAAATAATGAGGGAATTTTCTTTACTAAGAAATTCATACATAAGTTATTATGCTCATCAACTGATTATATCAAAGAGCAACTAAACAAAGAAAATGTACTAAAAGACAATAATTGAGATATGCAGTAATAAAATAATGGGGGAATTTTCTTTACTAAGAAATTCATACATAAATTTTAATGCTCATATGATAGCAAATAGCAACAACTCACACTGAGTTGAAGATACCAGTGATGAAGGGAAAGCTGGAGTGTGAACCTGTGTGCCCCAGTCTGATAATTTGAAGGCAAATAAATGATCCACTCAAAAATAGGAGAATTGTTAAACTTGAGGCAAGAGAAGCAACAGCGTCCTGGAAGACCAACATGTTTGAAGCTCTGAAATTTTCTTAAAAGCAATCTGAAAAGCAAGGTCTGGATTATTAAATCAACCTTAAAACCATAGATATTTTATGGCTTAACCTTGACTATCAACATTCTAATTTAATTCAATAGGCTGTTAGATACGTAATTAATTAGCAGCAATGGAAAAATGTTAAATTTCTAATTCATTTTATGAGCAGTGAGTAAATTTTTTAAATAACAAACTCAATTGCCAAGCCCAAAAAATTAGTCTACAAGTGAAAATTGGTCCTTAAAATAGAAAAAAATTATTTTACTTTAATCTTTGGGCAATTGTTTCCTGAATAGTATAAATATTATTTCATCTCAGCTGAGTTATTTGTAGCTCCATTACTAAATAAGCACTGATGGAAATGACCATGACTATGATGCCAATCTCAAATATCTGGCAGAATTTTCTTTAAATAGTGGGTGAAAAAGACTTTCATGGGTGAGTTTGGCTAATTGTGGGCAAAAATGTTGCACTGACCACTTACATGGCCATTTTTGTTTTATTCACAGGAAGCTTCTTGTCAATTTCCTGTTTGGCTATGATGCAAAAGACAAGACACCATTGATTCCTAAATTTTTGAGAGATAATTTTTGTTTCTAAATACACCAAGCTGCAAAATTTTCAAGTTCATTGCAGCAACATATTTAGAAGTGCATCATGAATTAAAACTTATTTAATAAATAAATATTAAGCTAAAATATAAACCTATTTTGAATGCTGAACAAATTTTGTGTTTAAAAAATTAATTTCACATTTTTTAGGTAGTCATCTTCATGGAAATAATGATATGCATTTAAAAATTACTTTTTAAAGACAACACTACTAAAGAATACAGAGTCTCCTATGTTACACATCTACAATGAATTTCTAATTTTATTTCCATATATTAATAAAAATTAATTTTTAATTTTTTTAATATTAATATATGAAAAAGAAAATAAATTTTTAAAATTATTTATTCTGTCAATTGATTCATGCCTTGTCTTTAACTTAGCACAAGTGTGCAAAATTTCAGATTGATTGGACAGGTAGAAGTGTGCTGAATATTGATAAGATTTGTAGAAGAAAAAACTATTTTTTCAATTTTTCATGCAACAAAAATTTTTTTATTTTAAAATTATATATTCTGTTAATTGATTCATGCATTGTCTTCAACTTTACGCAAGTGTGCCAAATTTTAGATCAATTGGACAGGTAGAAGTGTGTTAAATATTGATTATAAGATGTGTAGCAGACAGACAAACAAACAGACAAGAAGTGAAGTTAAAGAGAAGTATTGTAAAAAGACCAAGGGAACATGGTTAGAAAATGTATCAAATGTTTACTAATGGAAATTGGGAAGAATCCACCCATGAATGGGATGAAAATGAATGTGTTTGTGGACATTTTTACCTGTTCCTGTGGCTCTTCCATAATCTATTCCATATAAATTACGAAAAATAACAAATTATTCACTGTTATCATTAAAAATACTTGTGAAATGATTGTTTCTACTCACCATTTCTGGAAAATCCTGTCTAGTATTTTAAATTGGCAACAGTCATGGCTTCCCACCCAGAAATTTGGTAGTACAAAACTAATTATAGTACCATTTTCTACAGAAAAATTCTGCACACTTAAATGATCATGTGTTCATTGGTTTGATTTTTGTTTGGAATCAGTGTCAATTTTCCTAGTGCCATATACTGCTTAGTGCTTAGCAGCTAGATGCCTAGATAAATTGTTTCTATAAAATTTATAACCAAAGTGCATGTAATAGAGTCACGAGTTTCTAAAGTTAAGAGAAAAATATGTTAGTTTTAGAATAGAATAGAATTGTTGGCACTGAATAAATAGGCCCATGGCCTGTTTTGAGCCACAAAATTCTAGTAATCTAGTATTTAGTATGAAATTTCCTATCTAGATGCCAGAGCATGCTGCATAGTTGGGCACAGACTGAAAATTCTAGCCTGAAAATCAGACACTTTTTGTTGACCTTCTAACTTCTTTACTCTTTAGTAAGCCAGTAAGTAAGCCCTATTATAAAGTAGACCAGTAAATATTGTGGATACTTGCCCAAAATGAAAAGTTGGGTAGAACTAGAACTTTAGAAGCAAGTAGTAACCTGTGAATGAAACTTAAATGACCATGCTTGAGCCTGTAGACGATTTTATCGCTTCAGTTTCATATAGCTTTTGCCTGATTTGTTCAGTAAAAATTAAGTTAATGGCATAGGTCCTATTTTTGCTTGCAATTTTTGTAAAATTCTGCCCAATACTCCAGATAAGATAGGGTAAATGCGGTATATTCCGACATCGTAGGTAATTCCGTCACCTCTCCAGTTTTTCCTTTATATTAAGCTTTGTTTTAGTTCCATGCGTTTGTTGATGGTTGAAATGGTGACGTCATGCATTTGCGAGTCAAAATACTGCCAAAACACTAGGTATTGGCCATCTAGTGGGAAAATATTGAGATCCAAAGAGAGACAATGCATGCCACGTGGTGAGATCATCGAAAAATAATCAAATTTGACAGTTGACATGGCTCTACCCCACTGTGCAGAGAGTGGATGAATATTGCAAGATCTTTGGCGATGCTTCTGTAGCAAAATTTACGCCTTCAGAAGATCTTGCCGACACATTTAGAATGAAATTCTTGCATTTAATATATTTATCAGTCTTCCACCAACTATTTAGAAAAAAGTAAGGTTTCCGGTAAGATGGATGGATCAGGATACAGTGAAGCTTGTCCAGAAATCACTTGCAATGAGTTCCCGCCAAAAAAATGTAAACAAGTTTACAATTGCATAGTTGTGGTCACATTTGAGCGGTCAGACTGCATTATCACATGTTCAGTTGACACTTGCTGTACAATTGGACTGTTATTAGGGTAAAATTAGTTATTCGGGATAACATGTGCATGCAACCTTGTAAATAAGTTTGTGGCTTGTAAATAGTTTTTCATTACTCAGCGTAAATGGCTTTTCATTAAAAACTACCTAGCAACAAATCTTGAAAATGGTTGGCGACGCTTTGGGCTTAAAAACCCATATATTGGCGACGCTGCATCCACCATCTGCACCTTGGGCTCTACCAAATAGTGAATAACTGTTTTTATAGGAAGAATATTATGGTTTGAGACTTTTAAATACGTCTGTGAATATATTAGGAATCCTTTAAGTATACTTGTATTCGCTGATTTCAAGTCGTAAATAAATTAATAGATGATTAAGTTGAGATGTTGGATTTAAACACGTGCGCCAAGTGAATCAATTTTCATTACATTGCGCGAACTGTGCACAGCAATAGATTAAAAAAAGTGAAAATACGCGGGAAAATTCACCGAAAACATACATCATCCTGAGTGTGGAGCAAACGGAATTAGAACACGTGGATGTCGGCAATACGTATCAGTTAAATTTGAAGCGCTGACGCAATACGACTCACCACGTGTCGAATATTGCCACACAAAGTGACGGAATATAGGGATTTGGTAGGTTTCCATTCTAAAGGCTTTTTAATAAATATGGCAACATTTTGTGATGTTTCATCGTTGCTGACGCGTAGTGAAGTGTTTTGAGAGTCATGTGAAGGCAACAGAACTTACGTAACGCATACGTTTTTTTTATAGTTTTTCATTTCTCGATGCGTCCTTAATGTCGGAATATACTACCGCATTTACCCTACCATCAAATGGGATAATAAGGTTAGTTATTTATAAAGAATAATACCATCATTCTTAATAATAACCTTTTACCATGAAAGATTTCATTTCATAAACAAATTTGGGCTCATTTTGAAGTCTTTGCGAATTGCGAGGCAGCAAGGGCTACCTAGGTATCATATGGTAATTGGTATCTCCAAAAAAATTCCATTTGCTATTTGTTAGGTGCCAGACGCAATATAAAAGCCTCCCAAATTACCCCTGGAAACAGGGCAATAAGGGACACGACTCACGAACAGTCTGACAGAGAGAAGAGGAGGGGGAAGGGGCTAGTCTGCTGGGTTCTTGACTCTGAATGGATCGTTATGGACGGAACCATCGCTAAATATACTCGAGGAGTCGAGGTATATATAGAAGTCTAGTCCAAGATAAAGTTAAACGTAATTTATAAATGATTATTTGCCGGTTAGCTTTACGCAATTAAGCACACTAGTCTGACTAGAGATGCTCACTCGATGAACGCAGCTGACTCTCTCCGAGTCCGACGTGTCAATGTTTTTCAATCGTGAAGCCGGACAATTTAGTGGTCTGTCCGTACGGAAAAAAGTGTAGCGAATATTGGTGAACATGTGACAATTTTGCTCCCCTTCCATGTTTACATTTTTTTCTTTCAAGGAGTGCCCTTGTCAGGTATCATATTTAAAAACCTTCATGATATATAAATATGAAAATAATCGTTACGCCGCATGTATTACGGAAAAAGGCTCTAGGACTGTCACGATGATGTAACTGGAAGTCATTTATTTTTCATTATGCACTAGTAGTTGAATAAAATGAAAAAATGTTTTAGCGTATATTTTCGTAGCGTTGTTGTTTTGTTGTTGTCTTGTTGATATATTGTTGCATCGTTATTGAGTTTGTTTTTGTTGTTGATCGATTCATGTAGCGTTATTGAGCTCATCTGAACGCAAGGAGATGCTGTTGATGACTGGTATTTATTTAAACAAATCAGAGAAGTGCATTTCCAATAACAAGCAATAAGTTTGCGTAGAGAAATCGCTGGATGTTTGGCCATGCTGAAGTAACGGTGAGAAGGAAACACAAATTAAACTTAAGGTCGATACATGAACATAAGGTCGAACTATAACTGCCTAAGATTGATTAACACTAAGGCGCTGTGATGCTTTATGAAAAACTTTAATGTGAAATAGATGAACTGATGAGGAGCGATGGATCGATGAGTCAAGACAACATTCTATCAAGAAAAGACTGTCCTATTAGTAGATTTTTCTGGAATAGATTTTTATTCTTCACCCAAATAATTCGGACTCCTGAAGCGCCAAAAAATTAGCTCAAACGTTTACT